TAGGAGGTGATTACCAGTGACACTTGATTTTACAGTACAGTATATGTACCTACAACATAGAAATGATAACAATGCTAATGAAAATGGATTATTTAGAACTGATTTGATGCTGCTATTCAAATAAATTTTATTTAATCAGTGTGAAAATGGAAACTTAACTATAAACAATTCCAGGGTGATCATGACTAGGGTTCTGTCAAAAAATTCTGCCCTAAGAATTTCGGACATTTTCAGTCAATCTGACTTAAAAGAAATTGGCTTTGATAGGATCCTTGTGCTTACCTAACGTACAAGGGGGATTGGAGTGTATATGATTATCATGTCTTTCATTGTACAGTACAGGCATCTCTGTGGGAGCAGATAACTCTTGACTCCTTACCCTCCCACATTTCCATTAAAGATGGAATAAAGTAATTCATTCCATGGGGCTTTTTCAAACTACAAAGTATAAGGAGCCAGGGAAGTGCAAAGGGATGATTGGAGGGTGGGGGACACACCACACATGCAGTACTTCTCATTACCTGGAACAAGATGAACAAAAATATAATTTAAAGAAAATGTAAAGTGCCCTGAGAAGGACCCAGAATAAAAGAAGCCTCTTTCATGGAGAAATAAAGCTTTGGGTGAAATGGATGACAAAGTATAGCACAGAAATATTTCCCTTCTTCCTGAAGCTTGACAGGAAGCTCCCTCATACCGATTATAGGAATTACAGAAATGAAGCTGGGTAAGTATTTGCATCAAAGACAAAATGCATCTATCATGACCCCTGAAAAATGTGGCATTTGGAAAGCCTGGGGAAGGTGCCAAAGTCTGACAAATGACTATGTGTGGTGACTGAAAATTTGTTGGAATACATTTTTCTCTGAAACATTCTGAAATCTTCTTTTTATTACTTTCCTAGAAGGTCAATTTGCAGCATTGCTTCCTTCCTCTCTCTATCATTTTGGAAGGGCTACCACCTTATCACCACAACCACAATGCCCTAGTATGATACTAGGTAGAGAGCACTGTGGAGGAAACAAAATGGTAACTGAATTCCCAACACAGTCACTATTGTCGCTGTTTGCAGTGGTACCACACAAAACAAGACACCTTTGAAAAGAATGAAGAAAACTATGCCACAAACACAGTTAAAGGTGACCACCCCTGAAATTACGGGATAATTTTTTTCCCCCGAAGAAATTCTGTGAAATTGCCCCCTCAAATTCTTTTCCCACAGTAGGGTAAGGAAATCTGAAAGGTGATTTAGGCACAATTACTGTACATTTATGCATGACTGTCAAAACTAGAATAGCCGCTTTCTGATCTTCACTACTTCCAGTCATTGATCATAGTGACAATACTGGACTTTCCAGACAGAAAGTGCCCAATGCACTGTGAGAAGTGGAAGTGCAGAGGCACTGCACGGCTGGCGGTAATCCGACAGCTGCAAGTCTTTCCCCTCTTTTTGGAAACAAGTCAAAGACCTAATGACATCTCCCCACTTCCTACAGCAGCTACAGAGAAGAGAGTCATGTTCCACATGTTTTGTCCAGCATAATCCTAAGGCTCTTGCTTTACTGCAGTGCCCTGGGAAAAAGCATTTATAAAAGAAAGCAGAGCTAAATCTTTTTGGGTGAATATTGGCACCCATTGAGTGAAGAGAGGGATATTCCTCTGATCCTAAAGAAAATGTTGGGAAAGGTCTCCCTTTATGTTTCAGCTGGAAAAGTGCTGTGGAAATATCAAGTGCTCAAGTCTTTGTTGTCATGTCATCCCATACCTATCTACTGTAGCAGTGAGAGAATTTGGACCACTGGAGTGCAGCCAAAGAAGGTCAAGCATAGTGCTAAGCATACTTCTTTTTTCATGAACTGCTGACCCACAAAACTAGTATTAGCTTTAATCTACTGAGACTAAAACATTCCATTAAAAAAAACCCCACATAATCCTATTATTTCGGATACTTTCCTGGCTCAGTTTGGAAAGTTAGACAGCCCATAAAAAGAAACAGTACAAATCTAGACTGCAGCTCAGAAGTACTGAAACAGCATAAACTGCTTTACTGTATTCAAGTAAAGGTCCATCAAAACAAGCACTCTCTCACTGCAGTAACTAGGTAAATTCCCCCAGGACAGAGACAAACAGAGCATAATGTGGCTAGCTGTTCATCACCACAAAGTCCCAGCTCCACTGTCCTCACCATTTTAACTATCTTTCTTTGTTGTCTTCTCTTGCAGTATGATCAACTTGGTGACTCAAACTGCACACGTAAAAGGTCGCAGTGGCATAGATTTATATAGCAACATCACAGTACTGTACTTGTTTCATTTTCATTTCATCTTATATCTCCTTTCCTTTTTATTTTAATAGTTTCAATAGCAAGCATTGGCTTCTCTATTTCAAATCCAGCATGCACAGACATCTAGAAGTCCCCTAAATGTTTAAGTTTATATAAAATCTATAAATACTGGGCATTAAACATTATTATGACATGGGGAAATTTACTTTCAAATGTAGTAAAACTGACAAAGACATTGAAGTCTTTACTTTTCAGATGTATTTCTCAAAGTATAGCAGCTCAACACAGACACAATCTTAAATTTTAAATGTTTGACCATTATTTACATGATGCTTGCAATAAGGCTATGGCGTCTTCTCAAAAGAGACAACATTGTCCCAGTTATCTATGCTCTGATAACATTCAGGCTGTATTAATGTGATGTGCTATACATGGAGCTGTGTTTGAAGAGTATAAAACACCATTTGATTAGAATACAACAAACATATTAATAACCTGTAATTATTTATGAAAACTGATGTTTCCCAATAACCAAGTTATTACTTTGGCAACTTTTAAAAGCAGAAAGCTGGATATAAATACTGGTTTGCATTTTGATTTAGGCACTGGATTTCCCTTCCAAACTATTTTAAGCAAAAAAGCAAACAAACAGGGTAAAGAAAATGTCCTGTCAAGTTTTAAAAGTAGATACAGTGGTGCCTCGCATAGCGACGACAATTCATACAGCAAAAATCGCTGCAAAGCGATTTCATCGTTATGCAATATTAAAAAGCCCATAGGAATGCATTGAAACCCCTTCAATGCGTTCCTATGGGCTTCAGACTTACCTTTAAGCAACAATCCTCCATACAGCGGCCATTTTCGCTGCCTGGTAAGCGAGGAATCCGTCCAAGAAAACAGCAGGCGGCCATTTTTTTTACCCTGTAGCCATTTTGGAACCGCCAATCAGCTGTTAAAAAATCATTGCTTTGCAATGATTGGTAAGCGAAACAGGGTACCGATCATCGCAGAGTGATTTTTCCCCATAGGGAACATCGCAAAGCAATTGCAAAAAGTTAATCGCTATGCGATTTCATCATTAAACGGAGCGCCCGTTAAGTGAGGCACCACTGTACAAGTTTTAAAAGGAGATAAAACTGTAGAGGTATGTGCGAGATGCATTGACTCAGTAAAGGAAGCCATAGCCTTAGGTTTGCAAGAGTTTAAACAGGTGGTTAATCTTAGGGCAATCTGGAGGTTACTCATGCATAGGTCACCATGGGTCAGAGGTGACTTGATGGCAAATGACAACAACAAAGGTACGTAGTTACCTGTTACTTTAAAAACATTTCTGAGCTCTATTATGAGATGTGAAATTGTGCCAACAATATAAGAAGATTAAACTGGCTGAGTCTAAGACAGTGTAGTGGATAGGATGATGGAGTAAGACTCAGGAGACCTAGGTTCAATTCCCCCCTTGACTATGGAAACTCATTGGGGGGTGATGGTAAATCCACTCTTCCTTAAATATCTCTCATACCTTGAAAACCCTATTAAGATCACTGTAAGTTGAATGGGACATGACAGTACATAAGAATAAAAAACTGGCCAATAGGTTAAATGGAACACATAAGGAAACCCACACCAGGTAGATAACTTGTTCTACTAGCCATAAAATGAGGATGTGAAGACTTTTGAGAGAAATAAGTTTATGAGATAAACATTTTTACAAAATACCCAACTGGTTTTCAAACACTATGTAATTCTAACATTAACGTGCACAGCCTGTTTTACAGAGAAAGCTCCACATTTTTAAGGTTACTCCAGCAACTGACTAAAAGCTTGCAGACTTCTGTGACTGATAAAAGGAAAACAGCCAGAAGCCAGCAATCCTTATATTAAATAGATCTGACAGTTTGAAGTAACAACTGACAGAATAATATCCAGCACATTTAGTTTAAATAGGTAAAGATGGCACCACTACAAATAAGACTTAAAGATACACTTAAGATCTCTGGAAAACTCTGTAGACCACTTACAACAAATACTCCTCTCCTCAAGCCCTCTTAGCTCTTCCCTAGATGTCAATGATGTATTGTAGTAAAAAGCTTTCTTATTCACAGCTTGGAAAGCTAACTTTTTGTAGCACAACTCTCAGAATCCATCAACTGATGCAGAGTACTGTAGTTCAAAAAAGTCATTTTCCCAAATTCTGTTCTGACCAAATATGTCATTTCAGTCCATTTACATACAGTGTGTTATGTGTAGCACCAGAAAGTATGATGGAAGTATCAAGTACAGTGGTGCCTCACTTGACGAGGATAATCCGCTCCAGCAAAATTGCTGTACGAAATTGTCATCAAGCGAAAGTAAAAAATCCATTAGAATGCATTAAAAACTGGTTAATGCGTTCTAATGGGCGAAATACCTCATCATCCAGCGAAGATCCTCCATAGGGCAGCCATTTTCCAGTGCCTGTTAAGCGAGGAATCCATCCTAAACACAGCGGGTGGCCATTTTGAAACCCGACGATCAGCTGTTTTTAGATCGTCGTAATGCGTAGAATCGGTTCCCGAAGCAGGGAACTGATTGTCATGAAGCGCAAATCGTCCTTTGAAACATCATTTTGCAATCGCAAAAACCCCATCGTAAAGCAGATTTGTCGTGGAGTGGGGTAATCGTCAAGCGGGTCACCACTGTATTTATAATGTTCACTATCAGGATTTTTCAAGATTACCTGACTTTTCCTTTGGTATTTCTGAGAACAGTTGCAGCAAAGTTTTGTGTCACACCAACCAGACTGATTCCATCAACTTCTACAATTTGGTCATTCACTTGGATCCTTTCAGGGAAAACAAAAAGAACGAAGAACATCTAAGTAAGGAATATTCCAGCAAAACATAAAAAGATAGTATTTTTTAAAAGATAAAATTGCCATTTGGAAGCAATAAATGATTAAATCTGCAGCGTGCAAATAAGGTCCTGCAGTCGATTTAAGTTACAATGAAGAGGGTTTCAAAGAGAAATTATCAGTGAATTCCAGACATACTTTTTCTCTACTTTTAATAGAATAAACTAAGTAAACAAACTAAATTGGAATTATTCAGTATCAGATACAATGGCAAATTTGTAAGTATGGCGGTATGAACAATGCAAACACATTAATCCCAAATGTGTTGTGATGAGTTACAGAGCAGTACATGGCACTGAAGTTTCACCTTTCTTGGTTATAATGCCAACGCCGGGAGGGGGCCCAAAGGGATCCCCCAGGAGGCGTTGCCTTTGCCAGCCTTCCCGGATGCCACGCGAGGCTACAGGATTTGCTCGAGATCAGCCAAGGGGCGTGGGCTGAGCAGGGCCTATTTAAGGGGGCAGCCACGTTGGTAGCTCCCCTTTTGTTCTTGAGAACGGCATCCCACCCGCCCGCCCTATAGGCTAGTGCGAGAGTAGCTAGTCGCCCTTTGCTGGGGGCCAGATAGGGATTTTTGAACCGCCTCCTGATTGGCAGGTGGAGGCAGGGATTTTTCGCCTATCCCGCACTAGGTTAGGAGGTTTAGTTTTAATAAGGGCGGTAGAACATGGTCACGCAGGGGCGGGTAATGCGGATTCAAGCGGTATTCGAACTTGGATTATAGGTTAATGACAGAAAGTGGCAGCGCGTCTCAGCTCGCAGCACTGCCGATCAGGCGATCTCAGTGCTGGGAAGCTGGGATGTGCTGGGGATGCACCCGGACCCAAGGTCGGCACAGAGAGAGCGAAAGAGGGTCTGGGAGAATGGAGGCCGACAGTGATCCCTTGGTAAGGAAGAAGGGAATGACTGAGGCCGGAGCACAGCCGGCTGACTGTTAAATGGTCATTTGATGATCAAGAACTAACCTGAATCCGGACTACAGGAGGACCCCCCTTTTTTGCCAGGAGTGGCAATGTTTATGGAAATGGAATGGATTCCAAATAAAGCGCGGCCCATGATTTACCCACAAACTTCTTCGTCTTGCGTGGTTATTCCGGGTGGGAGGGCAAATCCCGTCCCCTTTGTTTCTGAGATTTTGTCAGGAATTGCTCATAACTAGAAATAAACAACTATGAAACCAAGCAACTTTCTACTTTTCTTGGTTTGCAGGTCAGTCTTTCAATCACCTTGCTTCATATTCAAGTAAAGTTCACATTTAAAATAGAGAATCTCCCCTGAACATTATTATCTGGAGTAAGTGTGCCCTACAGTGACAGAATTGTATGATTCAGCAAGTATGTGCAGGATAAATAATATTTTCTACCAAATAATTGACTTAATTCAACAGCATAGTCACATCACACCACTGCTCGTATTTGGGGAAATAAGTCTCCCAGCCTTTTAAAACATCCCTTAACAAGTATGAAAGGTTCCCAATATCTGCTTTGGCAGCTCCAAAGGTTATGTTTAACAGCACTAACAAATGAGCCAGCACACTTCATATGCTGTGACATTTGATAAACAGAAATGTGTCCAACTGCTACTAAACTGTATAATTACAAATAGCCATCTTACCATCATTTCAGAACTGAAACTTGTACTTTGAGAGAAGTTAACCAAACAAAAGATATACTGTAGTAGGAAAGTTTCACATCAGCTTCTCCTTTTAGCAGTCAAACGTCTCTCAGGAAAGTGAGCCAAAGTCAGGCTTGAATTCCTATCACAAATTGGTCAGGAGGATTTTCCAACCATCTGAAGAAGCTTTTCAGGGGTGGCTTGAGACTCACTACAGAGGGAGGGAAGACCTGGAATCTAACCTTACAAAAAATTATGTAAATTAATCTAGGAACTGAGCTATTTTGTATCAGTTGACAGGAAATGTTCAAAAACCTAATCTAAGGAGATTTCTGAACATTATTATTTAATAATAATATTAAATGGTGCAATTACTGTATTAGCCAAATTAACACTTTTTATTTTGGAACTACATGTCAATCAAACAAGAGGTTCTAAAACAGATCTAGCTAATACATTTTTATTCTGCACAAGTTCATAACAGTAAAGTCACTTGGCCTGTGCTGCTTTGTTAAACTCTTCCTTGCCTATGGCATGGTTTGCCTCCACCACTTTTATCACAGCTTCTGGTACTCTGTAATTTGGAGAATGTGGGTTCATCTGTAAGGGGGTTAATTTGTGCACAGTCCTGCCTTAGGGCAGAGAATGGGATGAGATGACTTTCATGGCTCTGTGAGCTCTATAATTCTCTGTAACAGAAATAAGCAGATAAACATACCATTTCAGCTCACATTTCATTCTCCTTCTATCTTTCTGTTCTCACCTGCATTGTGCTACCCACTGCCAACTGCCATGTCCTCCAGTGAATGACTCATTTGTTATTTTACTTTTTGAAAGGTGCATTAAAAATGATGTTGTCATATTTCATGTCATATACAGGATGTGCTTTATAAATTTATTAAGTCATGCATGTTACGGGTACTATCGCAAATACATTTTCCAAAAGAACAGTGTTGTACTATTTTTGCATATTTCTATATTCTTAAGATATTAATCTTCAAAAAACTGATATTCTCTTATTTGTGCCTAATACTGTACACTTCCATACTATACAATGTTGTTGGTGTTAAGCATTAAATAACATTGTTCACACATTGGTTAGTTAATTAATTGGGTTACTGCTGCCAAATAACTTAACAAATAACTTCTGGCAATATACTGCTGCCATCTGCCATTTTATCTGCAGATTTATAAAAGAAGATTAATATATGTTAACATTCATTATCTGAAATTTGAAATTAAGCTCTTCAATATGCAGACATACTTCAATTAAATAATAAACTGATGTTCTTCCAGCTTACAAAATTCCATAATCAGTGTTAAAGTTAAGGGTTTTTATCCAGCATTATTGTACACCCAAACAATGAGACAAGTGTTCTGTTCTTGAACTATGAATACATAATTGTAATTGGGCACGACACACCAAGAAGGTTCCTCTACAAGACCAAATGAAATGAATAACTTCTACTAAACAGGACCCAGTAGTTCTGAAGCTTTTCAGAACCTTCCATACTTCTCAATGAGGCTTGAGGAGGAGAATTTTCCAATAGACATTACGATAATCTGTGCTGGCTTATTATATATCACTGTTAATACAGTTATTAAAAAAACAGACTATTTTTTACACTTTGGTTTGAACTATGCCTTAAAATATCCTCTCCTGTGAATTCTGAGATTGCTGAAGAAGAAACTGGAGATAAAAATAAAATCCCTAAAAAACAACTCAGAACTAAATGTTACAAAGTTATTTTCATTTCTAATTTCCTACTTGTTAATGCCTGCCTCCTGTTTCTGATTCATTTTTGGATGGATTGGCATAGTCTCATCTGTATAATATGTTCTTTCTTATGGGGCTCCAAATATAAGGGAGATATTTTCACGTCCAAGGACACCTAGGCAGCTAAATCTAATTATATTGTCACTGTTAGTGTGTGTGGGAGTACCCTTTAACAGCCAGAGCTCTCACACATTTCATACACTTACGTGTGTGCATGCACACACGCACACACTGGCATTTTACCTTCAGCATGAGTTGCTTAAATTTACTGTAATTTTGCAATCCTTATAGATACAAAGTGGCATTTCTTTAGGACTGGACTAATTATATTAAATGACTGCATTTGAGATAAAGTTAAAAAACAAGTCTTTACATAAGATATTAAATTTCCAGTTGCAATATATTAGTCAGCATGTGGGCGTAATTCATTCTTGTTATCAGAGAAAACAAATTTTAAAAGGAGAGCTTGCTCATGTAACATCCCCCCAGTTCTGTATAAAAAACATATTACAGTATGATCCAGTCCATTGTAGGCACAGTGCATATGCACTAAGCATCCCCTTTCTCCTCGTACTGGAATACCTACGTACATGTAAAGACAAAGGGATGGCCCTTAGGGAGACATCGAAGGTGAATGCATGCCTCCCACTGTTCACAGCAAACTATTCATGCTTCTTCTCTGTTCACAGCAAACTATTCATGCTTAGGAACACAAAGGGTTTCCGAAGAGATGAAGCACTGTTCTGAATGGAGACATTTCCAAAAACATTTCCCATTCCATATATGGCCTCTCATGCTATCTACATGCACACCAGTGAATGTGCACACCGAGGCCCAAATTAGACAAGACAACTTTCAGTTACAAGACAATAAAAATCTTTTCCCTACAAAAAACCATCTCTATGCAGTCAACTTGAAAATGAAGCTGTGTGCTTATCTGCAAAGACACATCACCAAACAAAAGCACCTGACAGAGGTGAGAAATGTATAGTTTTACAATTCTATGAAACCTCACACTGGGATAAACAAATGAGCTTTATCTCTTAAGGGAGCTCCACTTCTATGCGGTCAGTGTAATGTCTTTTTTTACTCTGAGGTGGGAGGAAAACAAGCATTTACTGATTCCCTTCAACATCCTACAAGTACTGCTGCAGCACTTGTGGTGAGCTGAACCAGGCCCTTCTTTATTCTTTTTTAGTTGTATTTTAGTACATGTAGGGAGATATATTTACTAGTTGTGCGTTTTCTTTACTGGCATACACATCTGCTTCACTGTCAGAAGCAGGCTCAACATTATGCCAGTTTAATTTACCCATGTGAATCCAGACATTTGTATGAGGCCTCAGTAACAGACTCACAGATGCGTTATCAATATTCTTTTCTGTGCATTCAGTAAAAATACACTCGTTACCAGCAGAAATGCCTTAATGATTTGTAATTCTTTCATTAAATTTAATTATTTATTTGATTTGATTTGTGTACTGCTCCCATTAGTGCCAAGGCACTACTCTGGCAGTTCACAATAAAAAAGCAACACAAAACAGAAACAGAAGTAGAACTGTTGAAATCATAAACAATTAACCAATAAGACAGATGGCTGACACAATAATGCAGAGAAATGGCAGATGAAAAAGAGTGATCAATGAGGGTCAGTGTGAAAAAACACCCTGACAAGCCATGTCTTCAGTTGCCTCCTAAATTTCCACAGGGAGTGGGACAGGTAAAGCTTCTCTGTAAGCTGGTTCCACAAAGTTAGAGCCACTGCAAAGAAGGCCAGACCTCTTCAAAATGACTTATGGACCTCCCTTGGGATGGTAACTCAGAGGCGCCTTGCCTGTGAGGATCTAGTGGATTGGGCAGATGATGCTGGGGAACATATATAGACATATTCACACAGACACCTACACAAACACAGAGAAATTAAGTAAGCTGCCGGCAACCAACAGTCATCTATTCCTTCCCTAGTAAAAAATTTCTCAGAGTAGGTGGCTTATTTGCTTTTTTTTTTTAAAGTATAGCCGAGCCACTTCAAAATAGTGTCTTGATCCATAAAAATAAATTAGTGAGGAGCAGCCTGGAAAAATGAGATGACCGGTCCCCCGTAGATTCAGGGATATTCTGCCTAATCTCTGAAGATAAGGCTCCAATACAAATCCAACAGTACTCTTTCGTTTTGTTTCAAAAGTAGAGTCTGCATATTAAGAATTTCCAAACAGGCAAAACTTTGCTTGCACTTAAAGACTACAGTACTAAGGGAAAACATGAGGTTCAGGAAGCAGGGAAAGACCTGATAGCAATTAAATTTTCCAACCAGGAAAAGGTCCTGATTCAGACAGGAAGTGTGCTGAAGCTTCCTACACAGACAGAACGAACTAGAAAACATGCATTATAAACCAATGGAATGCAATGAATGCAGACAGCAATTGAAACCTTGAATAATTTTTAATGGATCATGAAAACAAAGAGCAGCAACAAGAAGTGTGGAACAGGTAATATTGATTCTAGGATGTAGCTGTTAAAATTCCACTGAAGGCTGCATTACCTCTTTAGTGCCAGTATGATTTCCATTTCTTTATAGCTCCACTTTTTCAGAAAAGTGAAAACCTGCACATCCAGAACAATTAAGAGCCTGTAATAAAGGTTCGCAGCCCAGTGGCAATCTCCTGAACTAATTTTACTTCATTTACAGAATGGGCACACTTCTGTGAGCACAGTGGGATATAGGTCAAAATCCTATTGGTGTTTGTGTAAAGTTTGTGGAATTCCCCATGACTGATTGTGGCTAACTGATAAGATACCAAGAGACAGTGCAATCAGGAGCATGGCCAGGCATGTGATGAAGACATGCCCTGACACCTCATCAGTTAGACTCAATCAACCACAGCAAGTTACACAAACCTTGGGCAAAAACCAGTAGGATTCGGGCCACAGACAGAAATTCTTGGAATGTTTGATCTCTCAACTTCACCTTTTTATTCCAGCCTTTAATACTTAGACTGGAATCCTAAGAAAACAATGGGATTTGCATCTGAGTAAACATGAATACAGTTGTGCTATTAAATCAGGAATTCACCATATTTTTGGAGCCACATGTGATTTCAGCTCAAGGATCAGCATATGTACACACATATACACAAGCATACACACAGTGATCTTCTGTCCTTTCTACATTCATCATCAATCATTGGTTTCCAGACCAGCCTATAAACAACAGTTAATTCCATAATGATCAGCTTCCACTCCTCATAACCTGGGCCCCTAAACATGTTGGAAGACTACTTGCTGTCTACCAGAAAATATTTTCTCTGTGAATAAAAATTTTTCTCTCACGGAATCCCAGCACTGAAATAATACTGAAATCTGTACTTGCTGTAAAGTTAGAAGGATGCAGCCTTAATAATTAGCAGTCTTTTACAATCTCAGGGCCTTCAGATGTTGCTGTACTACAACTCCCACAGCTTCCAATGACTGGCCATGCTTGCTGGTGGATTCTGGGAGTTGTAATCCAACAAAGTTATTTCTCCATGGCCAATTTTCCTATCCTTGATCCGATAATGCAGTTTATGGAATGTAGACACATTTCCAAAAACAACACAGCCCGTGAGAACTAGCAGTGATGGTTCACGGTGTCGTATCAGTTTTACTGTTTCAGAAATGGTAAGCTAGGAATAGTCAATTTTTGATTTACCTGCCATCTCTTTCGGCTGCCCCACCTTCTGTTACAGTTTTGACGAAAATGCCCAGTTTCTCAAGGCCTGCATCTGCTCCAACACCCATTCCAATAATACTGATGCCAAGTCCATCTTCATCTGAGAAGGGCAAAAACAAAGTTAAGCACATTTTCCACTCAGTGGAATATATCTTCAAGGTTGCTCTCTCTGTATTTGAATAAAGCCTTCCACAAAATCTTAGTGTATGGTTTTATAACAACATGCTCAAAGGACAAGATGATGATTCAAAAATACTAGGCACAGTGAATCAAAATTATAAAAGCATTGGCTGGTATTAAATTACAGATACAAATTTAATCAAAAATTAGTAACTGTTAAATATTGACACAGTACATATGCTTTTCCTAATACTGCTGGTTTTTATAGATCTCATGATGTTATTTCTGGAATCTGCAACTGCTTATAATACTGTGTGAAATTGCTTGATATTGTTCCCAAAGCCCCGATGACGACAATAATGATGATTAGATGATTCTCCTCAATGTGATACACATTGTGATATACTTTAAATATAAAAGTGATACACTTTAAATATAAGCAAGTTCTACCTGATTCAGCAAACCAACTTCCTCTTTATTTCAAAACAGGCCCAGCATTCTCAATTATTATTCACAAGGGAAGGAAAAAGAGGTCTCTGTTCCTTCTGCCATAGTTGCCTTCCAGAACAGCTGTTCTCCAGAACAGTTGTTCTCCAGAAGGGAAACTGAAGTCCCAGTGTGGGTCAAACACACATACAAATCTAGTTCTACATGGCCAAAGAGGTACTGAATGAATAAGACTGGCCCTCTATGGCATTTGGCCAACCTCTTCCGGAGCTAGGGGGAGTTTACATGAGTAAATGAACTCTGCTGCATTACACCAGAGGTCTATTTAATTCAGCACTCTGTTCCTTTAATTCAGCACTCTGTTGCCTTATCATCCACAGATCACAAGGCAACATAGAGAAAATGAAAGCAACAATTGCCTCTCACTCTTTCTCAGCAACTGCTGGTCAAAGGCATTCACCCTACGAAGCTAGAAATAACATGTAGTCATTTATTTATTTATTTATTTAATATGCCACCCACACTTCCCAAAGGTCTCTGGGTGGCTTACATGATAGCTGGTAGTCACTGCTATTCTTATCTTCCATAAACATACCTAATCCCCTGTTAAAGCAATCCAAATTGGGCACTCACTACCACATCTAATTTTGGCCACTATTTTTTTTGAATTGACAATGTTTTTGATCCCCTGTTAAAGCAATCCAAATTGGGCATTCACTACCACATCTTCTGGTAATAAATGCTGAAAGTTAGGTAAGGAGCCAGTAAATAATTACTTCATTTTATTTCCTGAATCTCTCCCACTCAGTTTCACTGAATGATCCCAGGTTTTAGTACTGAGAAGGGGGGAAATGTATTTCAGTTCTTCTTCTCCACATTATGTGTGATTTTATGCATTTTTTATTATGCTGTAGCAATACTTTCACTCAGCTATTCACCACAACACATAAGAGTCCCTTCCTGGTCAAGCAATGCCTACTCAGTATAGTGGACCCTCAAATTACAGACGGCTCGACTTACAGACTATTCGAGTTACAGACTTCTCTGGCTGCAAAATTTAGGTTCGACTTGCAGCCAGAGAATCGACCTACAGACTGGGAAAAAAAAAAAAACCAAAATGGAACAAAAAACAGCCAGTTATGGATTAATCGGTTTTCAATGCATTGTAGGTCAATGGAGCCTCGACCTACAGACTTTTTGACCTGTAGCCACCGTTCCAATATGGATTAATTCTGTAAGTCAAGGGTCCACTGTATATATTTATTTAGGATTTTTCCCCTGCTTTGTTTATTTACTTACCAATATATTTACTATATTTATCACTTGCTTGCCTATCAGACCACATAAAGGAGCACACAACAGGGAGATGAAAATACTTAAAAAAATATATTTAAAACATTGTCCAGAATCCTGTTGCAGTTGTGCAGCGTAAACTGGAAATCACACACAACCACTAAGTTTGAGCTTGCTGAGGGCCCAGTGCATGTTGAAACATGCCTTGTGAAATCCCTTATGCACACGACAAAACAATCAGCAAAATACAGAGGCTGCTTCTGTAACTGCCTCTACATGATCAGTATTTCAAAATATAATTTTGGCCACTATTTTTTTTTTGAACTGACAATGTTTTTTGAAAGCATATTTGAAACATTCTCCAAGAGCCAATTTTAAAACCAATTGCAAGGGACAACAGATCTTTGAACAATACCGTTTTGGCTGCCTGCCAGTAGCTTATCAGGGATGTAGCTAATCTGATTTCCCGTGGGAGTGAATGCCATAATACAACCACTTTATAACCACATACACCGAACTACATTTGTCATTTCAATGCACATTCCTTGACAGTGCCTTTTGAAGGATTGTCTTGGAGTGGTTTCCAAACCATATATTACACCACTGTTCATTTCTCAAAGCTTCCATGGAACAGTTTCATATCCATTTTTTTTGAAAAGTGCTACTACAGATCTGAGCAGTAGTTCATATCTGTAAGAAAATCAGAAACACAGCATGTGTAGAATGCAAACCTTTTTCAAGCTCTACTGGGAAGAGTTCCAGTTTCTCCACACGTTTTTCAAGTTCATACTCAGCTGAGGCTGCCACTGGGTCAACTTCATCATTTCTCCTGTCATAGTCTTCGTTAGAGTATGTGTTAAAAACCTGAAATGAAATAAAGATAATGAACAATTAAACTCTAGAAATCCACTACTGAGATACCTGTATTCTGTATACAAAAACAGAACACCACACAACATAACGACTATACAGAAGAATGATGACAACTTTGGACATTACAATTCTTAAAGGAATGTTGGAAACCACCCAAAGTAGTGGCACACCACTAGATGATGTGGTATATAAATTTAATAAATAAGGACAGAGGAAAAAGCAGGAAAACCAGTATCTGGAGTGCTGGAGTCTTAATATACCACACAGTTTACAACTGGTCTAAACGTTATTCCATGAGGAGGCAAATAGTGACACAAAAACCATGTGATGTTGATCTCTAAAAATCAGAACCAGCTCCTGCTTTAATTCAACAATACGGACACAGTAACAAAAAAGGTACTAAAATTAAACTTCCAATATAGTCATATTATTAATGGCCTCAAAATGGAAAATATATTTCTTTTAACAAGGCAACTCCCATATTTTCTGTCTATAAGACACCCTCGTGTATAAATGCCCCCCCACTTTTCTAACCCCAAATTAAGAAAACTTAGCTTTGAATATTCAACCTCTGAGCTCAGAACACTCGGACATTACGAGTCCCTGTTGCATCTGAGCCTACAGGTTCCAACTCCAATGAGGTAATGAGGTATGTTCCAATTAGTTTGTGCCGCATCAGCTGACATCAGTTACATAAGGTTCATGATTGGAGGAAGCTAAGTCTCCTGACTGTAGGAAGCTAAGCCACGTGATTGGAGGCAGCCTGTTTGCAGAGGCAAGGTATGTGCCATTTTGTTCTGTCCTCAGCTTACTTCTGTGTATAAGATGATCCTCAATTTTTAGTCTAAAGATTTTAGACAAATGTATCATCTTACACATGGGAAAATACAGTATGTTAAGAGCACTGATATTTAAATATACAAGGGCTGAATTAATGGGCATACATTTTTATACTGTTGTTAGACTATACATTCATTTCACGGTCCCACAATTGTATTTCTCTAGCAAGACATTTTTAAAATGTTGTAAAGTTCACACAATTCTTTTACTCAATTGTGGGCCCAAATCAGAGTTTTAAAAAATGTTTCTGAGATATTAGATACTTCGCTTATTTAAACATACAAAACTGATAAAAATGCTACACCGTACTGCATCCAAGGAAAAGCTTAACATGTGAAGATTACTTGAAAACAAAACCAAAAAAAGCCATCAAATTAACTGAAACTCAGTGTTATCCTTTAAGAATACATAACTGACGGATGTTCAGAATGTATTTTCCTATGAAAAATACCTAAAACCTGGCAATAATTCTATGTCAAAGCTAAATGAAAATACAAGTATTTGCTATACAAGCAAATGCTAATAATCAATAATTCACTTTATAATTGGCACAACCAAATAATTTAAAGCAAAAGTTCAAATTAAATCGGCTATAATCTTTAAATCTCATGAATAGCAGAAAATCTCACTAAACTGCATTTAAGCTCTTATTAAACAAGGCTAGAAATTACAAGACAGTTGTTTCCTGGGAAATGCCTGAAGCAGATTTCATCCTATACAGCTCGTGTTAAGAAGGAGGTTTTAATAGAGAACAAATTGAGTTTTCATCAGTGTTCAGCAGGGATTTACAAACTTTCTGGTACCATAAATTCTGATTCTGAGTGGGGGACAATCATGTGTTAACAATATTATGACTCATTCAAAACTGGAAATGATAATTTCAAAATATTTGAAATAACCAATGGTAGAAAGATGTAGTAACAATATCACAAGAAAAAATCAACATGATGTTGTTGAATCTTCTCCATCATTGCCTCCAGCTAGCTTTGCAAACCTTGTTGTTTCCAAGGTAACAGATACGGATGCTGTGCCATTTTACGGTTATCTCTAACCTAAAAGGGCAACAAAGTCATCAAGAAAATAAAAGAGAATCTTTCATTAAAGCAGAACTCTTCTGACTAAATTGACTACGGGATTAATCCTTAAAGCATTACAGTAATATGAGTGGCATTTATTGGAAAGAAAGAGTGATAGCACAAGAAACAGTAATCCAAAAAATTGAGAAAAAAACAAACATGTATGAAATATGTGGGTGTCACACTCACACAAACTCAAGTTGTGTGTTTTATGAAAGAAAATATGCATGCTTCTTTAGCAGAGATACTTTTGCCCCAGAGTCTGTAGCATATAGTGTATTAGCTAAACAAGTTTTTGTACCTCACTCTGCTACTGTTAACACCAAAAAGTGCAAACTCTCCCACCTTTGTGATTCTCAATAGCTCAGTCACAATGGCATGTTTCTTTCATGAGAAAGTGGTGGAGAGGGTGGTGGCGGACCAGTTTCAGGCTCTTTTGGATGAAACAGATGCCCTGGATCCGTTTCAGTTGGGCTTCAGGCCGCGCCATGGTACAGAAACGGCATTGGTCGCCTTGTATGATGACCTGTTGAGGGAGGCTGACAGGGGTAAAACATCTCTGTTGGTCCTTCTCGACATCTTGGTGGCCTTTGATACCGTTGACCACGGTATCCTCCTGGGGAGGCTCTCCAGGTTGGGAATTGGTGGTGCTTGCCTGGCTCCGTTCCTTCTTGGAGGACCATCGCCAGAGGGTACAGCTTGGGGAGAGTGTCTCAGCTGCGTGGAGTCTCAACTATGGAGTTCCACAGGGGTCGATTATCTCCCCAATGCTGTTTAATATCTATATGAGGCCGCTGGGTGGGGTCATCGGGGGGTGTGGGGCATCGTGTCATCAGTATGCTGATGACACCCAGCTCTACATCTCCTTTTCACCAACTGCAGGAGATGCCGTTCTGTCCCTCCAGTGCTGCTTGGGGACCGTACTGCAATGGATGGAGGAAAATGGGCTGAGGCTGAACCCAGACAAGACGGAGGTTCTGAGGGTGGGTGCCGCCACTATCGGCGGCTTGGATGACTGTCTTGTTTGGGGGGTGACCCTTGCTGCAAAGAGTGGGGTTCGCACTTGGGGATCCATCTGGACCCGGCGCTCACCATGGAGACTCAAGTGGTGTCGGTGGTCCGTACTGCCTTTTTCCATCTCTGGCGGATAGCTCGGCAGCAACCTTATCTCAATACAGGGGCGCTCACTACCTTGGTACATGCGCTTGTAATCTCAAGATTAGACCACTGTAATGCGCTCTACGTGGGGCTACCTTTGAAGTTGACGCGGAAACTCCAAGTGGTGCAGAATGCGGCCAGACTCCTTAGTGGAGGGAGAAAATACCACCATATTTCTCCTATTCTGGCCGCGTTGCATTGGCTGCCCATTCGGTTCTTCATTGACTTCAAAGTCTTGATGCTTACATATAAAACCCTAAACAGTTTAGGGCCTTGATATGCGGCGGAACGCCTACTCCCACCAAGCTCTACCCGTGTCATTTGAGCGAGTCAGGAGGTGAGGCTGAGGAGCCTGATGCCAAGGGAAGCCCGGAAGGAAAAAACAAGAAACCGGGCCTTCTCGGCGGTGCCTCCTCGCCTCTGGAACAATCTGCCTCCGGAGATTCGCGTTGCTCCCTCTCTGGGTATTTTCAAAAACCAATTAAAAACATGGATGTTTAGGCAGGCCTTCCCTCCAGTTAATTTCTGAATCTCTCCCTTTCTTTTTTTCTTTTATGGTTTATTTTTCATTTTTTCCATCTTGAAGAATTGCTATTTAGCGTGATAATTTCTTTTTATATTTATTCTCATGTTATGTGTTGTAAGCCGCCTAGAGTGGTCTCAATGACCAGATAGGCGGGATATAAATAGAATAAATAAATAAAAATAAATAAATATAATCTCTGATTCCTTACAAGAGGATGTGTTTGAAGACAGCAGACTAAAAACACAGGCACAACTTTCTGCCAACCTTTTCTCTGAAAAAGGTAACACAATTTGAAACTAAAGCCTGTCTGTTCAATAACTTGAACCCCAGTTGCAATCAGATAAAAAGAGCTGCTGAAAACTGCTGCTTCAGTTCCTGCTGAATCCATACTGTACTTTCATCCAGTGAAACACTTTCTTTTTTTTAATGCCATTTCCATTAGATGTGGGAGAACTCCTGCAGTTATAACAAAAATGCATTCACTTTCAGGCCAAGGTGTGCAAAAAAGTGGTCACTTATCTTCTTCAGACACTTCAGAGGAAATTCATTTTCCAGCTCCATTTCAATCTGCCTTTAGGCCAGGCTTTAGTATATACATAGTAAATATATTATATATATATATTCTATACATCTTGCAGGATGATCTTCAACTGGACTGGGACAAGGGAGTGTGACATGGTAGGTTCTCTTGAACCTCTCAGGGCTTGTTTATACAGTAGTGTTGTCTGTAATTGTTTGAGGGATTGTTCTGGTAATTTTTTGTTGTAGATTTGATCATTTTTGTTGTAGATCATTCCGATCTTTGTATCCATACATGGAACAGTAGTGGTTGTTGAATGTACTGAGATGCACTGGGTTGTCTTGGGACCACCTGTTCACACAAATCTGTAATTGTTCCCAGATGTCTCATTCCTGACTCTTTCCTTACATCTATTTTGCTCTTCCTGTATGTCTATTTGCTCTGCCTTCTCCTCATCCACATACAGTGGAGTCTCAACTTGCGGTCGGCTCCACTTACGTACTTTTCGACCTACGTACTTCTCCGGCTGCAAAGTTTCACTTCGACTTGCAGCCGGAGAATCGACCTACGGACCAGAAGGGGGAGGCGAGGAAAGCACCAAATTCAAATTCCTGGACTGTCCAGGAGTCCGAGCATGGCTGGGATCGCCCGGCGCGGCGCGGCTCCCAGCAGTGGCGGCGGCGGGGGGGGGACCTCCGGATGCCTTCCAGAGAAGCCCTGGAGGAAGTTGCCCAAGTCTCTCTTGACCTTTGAGAGGGCCTGTTAATCACTGTTAACAACAACCGGAAAAGAATCTCTTTTGTGTGTTCACACACACACACACACACACGCACACACTTTTTGCTGGTTTTCTTTTATTTCATCCTGTGCA